TGTGGTTTTTCATATGATTTTGAAGTCATCGAATATTGTCACCCGTTCACACATTCGATGAACTTGCTACACCAAGTGTTAGTATAGTTCATTGCTGACGTTTTCCAATCCACCATACGTATTTATATGTGTGTGTACATCAAAATGTCAAAAATGTCAAGAATCCAACCGTTTTCGTCGTTCTTTGACCAAGACGCAAAGTGAAAATAATTTACCATTTTTGAGTTATAACCTAAAATGCAGGGCCCTTTTTCCCTATGCGTGAGGTCGTACAATGCACGAGGGCGCAAAGCATTTGAGAGCGCAAGAGCGCTCAGGTAGGAAAAAAAAATTAAGCCAATTTTCAAAATCAAGCGAGTAGGAAAGGCGCGAGAGCGTTAAAGACGCTCGAGAGCGCTAAGCAAACAATTCAAATAGGGCGCAAGCGTCCAAAGAGCGCAAAAATTCGGGAGCTCACGAACAGTTCGTTTAGTAAAACACACAATAATAGATTATTCGTGAGCTCCCAAATTGATGCGCCCTATTTTAATTGTTCATATACATAGAGCGCTCGAGCATCTTCAGCGCTCTCGCGCCTTTTCTGCTCGCTTGATTTTGAAAATTTGTTATAAAAAAAATTCCTGCGGAGGCTTATTTACCTTCGCGCAAAGTTATGCAATGAACAATGGTGCCCTTGGGACGCCACAGACCCATAAATTAAAATAATAGATCATTTCCGAGGGCGCACATAGAAAATTTGCACAAGGGAAAAAAGGATCTGTCAAATGTCAAATAAATGGTGTCATTTTGATAGCAGCTGTCATACTTTCACGGCTGTATCTCTTGAAGATATTTGGTCGGTTGTTATTGTGTTTTTTTGTCTAAATTCAAGTTTTCAAACGCAGTTCACTATGCTTAAATATTATTCTTGGTTCAAGAAATATTCGCATTTGTTTATGGTAATGGGAATTTTTTTTGACCGTCTCCATTTCCCAAACAACGGTTCGGTGGAGCAAAACATATACAGCATTTGAAATCACCACAAGCTTGTGCATCATTTCTGAAAATTTTCGCCATTTAAAGAAATATATAAACAATCGTATACTCAATCGTGTCCGGCCCAGAAATCAGGGACCAAACCAAACCGAAAATTGAACGAAAAAAATGAAATGGTTCATAAAACAATCCGCGATAAAAGAAATTTTGATCGTATACTCAATCATGTCCATGACTGTATGTAATATCAATAATCAAACCAATATTTACAGATTTTTTGTGCATTCACTTTTATATATGAATGGGTAAGCGGAATAATGCAACGTGATTCTTTTGTAAAATGAAGTGCCCCTGAACATAGATACTGACACTAAAAATTTCGGGGAGGGTCAAACCAAAAAAATTCATTAGGAGGTTAAAAAAAAACAATTTAATCTAGTGTAAAATAGCTTTCGGAAAAAATTAATATTTTGAAAAAAAGTGAGGAGCCAAAAAAAGGGTCCTCACTTTTGAAAACAAAGTCGAAAAATGTCGATGGGTTCATAAAATTTCGTGGGGGGTCAAATTTCGCCAGCAGGGGTCAAGATCAACGAGATCAGACTATGTCAGAATCTATGCCCCTGAATAACATTTTCAGTAAAAGTGCCCTACAAAAATATTGTCTAAATAAACGACACGTGAATTTGTTTTCATGCAAAAAAATTCATGTACCACTTTTACTGAAAATTTTTACGAGGCGATTCAAATTGAACATATTTTGTTGGGCACTCTTTCATACAATATTTTTCGGTGACGTCATTCGTATTTATCACATGGTGCAAATTAAGTGGTAAAGAGCGCGAATTTCGATGTGGCGATAACACCAATGGATTGAGCACATAAAATACTGTATAGTTTTCCTAACATATTTCGATTTTTTTCAGAAAAAGTGTTTTTAACAAAATTCGATTTTGAAATTCTGGGGTTTTAAATTCGGATTTTGTTTAGTTTCTCAAGAATTTTGTGGTGGTTTCAGTTTGAAGCTTCGATTGAGCATTTTGAAAAATTAACCCAAAAATGCTAGTTAATAAGATACCGATCCTTTTAACATATTAATATCATATTTTCGTTATTAACACATGGATCAAAAAGTTTCCGGCCTGACACATAGAGGGCACCACTATTCAAAAATCCATCTTACCATTCGATAGTTCCAACATTTATAAGGTATGTGTCAAAATTTGAGCCAAATCCGACCATCAGTTCCCAAGTTACAGTCATACGAGTGAAAGACTCCCAAAAATGCTCTAATTTTGCCGTTTAAACGGTATAACTTTCTTCTGGTGCATTGTATTCAAGTACATTCATGTGAAGAGTTCAGAGAGTGACCGAGCCTAAAAAACACAATGGTTAGTGAAGCAATTTGAAATCTATTTCGTTCAATTCTATCACCATATAAACAGTTCTTTGACCTGGGTGAAACTCGCATTTGAACAACATCGTTTTCTTCGCCAAACTTGCTACGTTTTATCAATATTTGACATTCGGCTAGGTCTAAAATGATGCATAAGTGACTTCTTATGTTATTTTTTATCTTTTCCACTGGTTCATGATGATTTTTCTATACCTAATACCACCAACAATGCCCGAACTCATATTTTGTGACCTTGGTCGCTACAAACCCTTTTTGGCGATTTCTATCCACAGTTTATGGCCCGCATCTATCCAAATGAACTCAAGAGACATTAATTCTAATATATAAAGTCAAAAACCTATTCAAATTTCGCTTATACAGCTCTAAACGGGGCTTCGAATCCTCAAAAAATTGTTCCTTTTGCTCCATAACCAAAAATGCGGCAAGACATTTTCGATTGAGTATTCCATATGCATATATCCATACAAAGTTGAAACTATACCTGGGGTTAGTTGCCCTATGGACTTAGTAAATTTATGCACTATCATATTTGAGAATTCCAATATCACTTAATGGATTTTGGCAATGATTTCTTCCAAAACCACATATTTTTAGCAATTTGGAGGTTTATTAACAAAATTGCTCTTATGACTATGTATAAATTTAATTCTTCTATATCTAATGATTGATTTCGAAAGTCCAAGGATACCATAAACTAACCCTAGTATGGGTTTGATATTTTTATTTGTTTTTGTTCTGAAATACAAGTGCCAAATCGACAGGAGAAATGCCGTTCTTTCATGGTTTTGAAAAACTCGCAAGTAGCGCCATTCAAAGTGCTATTACTTGGGAACTGATGGTCGGATTTGGCTCAAATTTTGACACATACCTTATAAATGTTGGTACTATCGAATGGTTAGATGGATTTTTGAATAGTGGTGCCCTCTATGTGTCAGGCCGGGGACTTTTTGATCCATGTGTTATTATTATTATTATTTATTTCACCGTCTAATCACAGACTGAATAATATCATATAATTCATTTTTCATTTACATTTGATAATTTTACAAAAGTAATGAAACACCCCGAATCGGATCACCCAGCCACCAGCCCTATTGACTTCGGAGTGGCGCTCTGCGGTCACCGATTGTGTTCACTGCTTCTCATTAGTTATTAACCTGGCAAATTTTCCAAAACGACTCATCATAAATGAAAACTGAAATCACCATAAAATTCTTCATGAAAAACTGAACAAAATTCAATTCCAAAACCTCAAAATTTCAGAATCGAATTTTGTTAAAAACACTTTTTCTGAAAAAAATCGAAATATGTTAGGAAAACTATAAAATACTGTATTTGAGTCGAAAAAAAATTCCACTTTTTTCTCGATTTTTGCCTGTTTCGGATCGTCTACATGGGAAGTTTGTATGACAACCTGGGAGCGCGGTTTGGCGCGGCTGCAATAACATTGGATTATATTATATGGAAGAATTGACACTTGGCCAAAACTCGGATTTCCGAGCGGAATTCGGCGAAAATAATGTGTCCAACTGTCCGTGTCCATCGCCCCCAAACCCCTGTGAATAAAATTGATGGCTTCCCATTGAGCCATCATTCAACCAGCTCCGAAGTATCTATTCCCTCGGACTCCCAAAAATCATGCTATTTCGCTCACACTCACGTGCAATTTTTACCCGTATTGTTACACACATCAACAAAGCAGTCTGCTCCACCGTAGAAAAGTAGTGCGCAGTAAGGAAACAGGAACGTACAGGTTTCGGTCAAATTCTTCTTTAATTTGACTATCCGCACAACCATTGTTATTTCATACATTCATACACACAATTGAAACTGTGCTATTTGTATATGAATCACAAGCGGGTAGCCGCACAATCCTTGTAGAGTCTATTAAAAGTAGCACTGTGTGCGTTTACATGTAATTTGTATGTGTTTGTGTATCAGAACAGCTTAAATCGACAATACCAAAATTTCCGATGTTTTTTTCATTTCGTTTTAGTTTACTTCAATTTATTTGTTTTTCAAACACATACATATATATGCCAATCGTAACGTATACAACCGTCGCGTTCGTCATCGAAGGTTAAATTAAATTAAAATTGATATTAATGAAATGAATGACAAAATGTTGTCTTTAAAATCTTTAATTCTGTCAGAATGTGAATAGGCTTTCAGACTAACTGTATATGAGCTGAATTAAACAAGAAAACATGGAAATAATGGATTTTACATACACACAGAAAAGAATCCCCGGAAATTTTGGGTGTTCGCCGTAAAATTTGACATTTATATTTCTATATACATCATAAATTTCTATATACATTTTACCGGCAACACTTCAATTTTCCGGGCGATGACATATTTTCGAACATTTTATCAAATACTATGTATATTTTACCGCTTGAAATGACAGATGGCGCTAATTTCTGTTGGAATATTTGAAATTATGTCATCGCCCGGAAAATTCAAGTGTTTCCGGTAAAATGTATATAGAAATTTATATATAAATGTCAAATTTTACGGCGAACACCTAAAATTTCCGGGGATTCTTTTCTGTGTGTAGTTCCAAACTTTAAGATTGTACAATGCTTTTATTTGAAAATTTTCATTGTAGATTCTTCAGAAAATCTCTGCAACATTGGTGCACCATCGAAATCGCCGAACTTTCTTCATTTGTTCAGTAATATTTCTGATGTCAGCCGCAAGTTCAATCGGATTATTTTTATGCCCGATGGAAGAAAATCATAGTGCAAGAACCTCGACTTTGGTTCTAAACTCTTTCGTAACGAATCGCAGTAACAACATGGAATTTAGATTGAGTCCTTCTTTTTTGGGAATCCACCAATACAATAGGAATGAAAGTGAAGATTCAAAACTACGAAATATTTCCAAATACCAACAATTCATGTCGAATGAGTTGAATAACATTCGCTCTGAAATTTCGGATAAGCTTGCAAATAAGACATCAAAAAAAGATGAGGAATTACATTCATTTCGAGATAATAATGAAACATTAACTGACTTTAAGCAGTACCTGAATGAACATAAAGCGCTCTGTTCACACCCTGAATACTTAGTTTTTACGTGGGTTTTGTGTTTAATCGCACTTGCAACTGGACTAAAACTGTATTATCTAGTAAAAACTTTTATGGCATCTATAATGGTCTGCTGCTACGCTATTCTGATTTCCATTATGTTTCCGGATGTCTTTGAAAACGCATCAACAGAGTCTGAAGACAACTCAAAGTATGGAATGCCGCTAACAGCAAGAATGAATATTCTGCTTATTGTCTTCCTCACGATGGTTACATATCACTCAAGGTTGGTTGAAGTGACTTCACGACTAGACTTTATTTGGAAGGAACAGGCTGAAAAAGAATTATCAAATATGAAATCAAACAGAGTTTTAAATGATTTACTTATTAAGGCAAGTATCTTAGCAATAATAATATATTGATTATAATTATGTTCACAGTGGATATAAAAAAAACCTTGAATGAGGGAACGCAATTTCCCATCCTCTCACGATGTCTCGAAAGAGCATATCAAAAGGGTCTCTCTATTTAGTAGCTCAAAGGAGACTCTTCTGAAGCATATCTTTTGTTTAAAAAAAACCATTTCATTTGTACTTTCAAACTAAATAACAAATACTAGTCTCGTCTGTGGTCGAAATTTGACCATTTGGGAACTGGGGACCGACCCGAAGAGCGTTTTTCAAGCGAAAAAACCATCAATTTCTGAGATATGAATGAAAAAATTCGAAAATGATCGTTGCCCACAGAAAGTTGGTTTTAAATTTTTTTAAAAATTAAGACAAATTTAAAAATTCCTAATTCACATTTTGTATGTTTTTTTCGCGTTAAAACATAGCATATGTCGCGCCGCTATTTCGTGTGAAGTCCTGCCGATTTTGTGTATTTGGCCTCGGCAAGTGAATCATATGTCTATCGTGAAAACATCTCATCTCATCGATTTTCTTTCCAACGGTACCAGTAGTTGGCAATTTGTCAACTACTTCTTAGTTAGATGGCGCAAACCCTTTTTTTCGATTTTTTCAATTTTCTGCAAAATTTATACTGGGTGAACTCAGAAATGTAGGCCACTTACAGCTCTAAGGTTTTGGTTTTCTCATTTTCTATCGAAAACAAGATTCCAAGCCAATTTTCAGCCAATTTACGGCGAACTCAGTGAGGTCACCTCACATAAGGCGACCTCACATTACAACTCTTCTCTGATTTCGTGTGGAATGCCGATTCTATAAGAAAATATAAACATACTGAACTGGTTCAAAAAAAAGTTGTCCCTTCTCTAAATTCCCCGGCCAGTTTCGAAAAATATATCTCAAATAAATAGGTTTGGCGCAAAGAACGTATATGGGTACCAATTGATGGCGAAATTGGTGGGGCAAGCTAATTTAGAGATATAACACAGTGGATCAATTTTCAAACTTTTTAATAGAACTTGAGCTTGACTATAAGGGGGTGAAAGTAGGCCCAGAGCCACCCCCGGGGAAAAATATAAACCCGATTTGCGGGCTAGGGAGTGGCTAAACCCCCCGGACCAGTTTGTATCTCAATGTATTTTGACGAGATCTATCGATTGGAGCTTCCCCCAATGTCAACTGACCCATTTCCTGACCCCCCACAGGGTTATTATCGATGATGCTTCCCTTACATATACATTACTCCAAAAAATGGTCTGGGGAGGGTCAGGGGGCAATATGGGTGGGTCCAATCGATCCTGACAAAACCCCCCCATTTTGGGGGGTAAACCCACTCCCAAGCCCGAAAATCGCATTTTAAAATATACCATGAATCTTTAAATCTTTGAAACCCGTTTTTCGGCCTTGAAGGTGGGTTTTACCTCCCCTAATGGGGGGTATTTGTGGGGTACTTTGACGAGATCTATCGATTAAACCCACCCATTGTGCCTTCTGACCCTCCACTGACCCCCTTTCGGGGACCTGCAAATCGAAAATATTATCTTCCTCAGTAAAATGGTCAGGGAAGGGTCGGCGGGCAACATTGGTGGGTCTAATCGATAAATATTGTCAAAGTAGTCTAACAAATACCCCCCATTTGGGGGAGTCAAACCCATCCCCAAGCTCAAAAAATGGATTTCGATGATTCAACGGTTCACGGTATATTTTAAAATGCGATTTTCGGGCTTGGGAGTGGGTTTTACCCCCCCATATGGGGGGTAATTGTAGACTACTTTGACAATATTTATCGATTGGGACTATCCGTTTACCCAAAAAATGCTATCTGGTGTTTGCTCCAGTACAAAATATTGTAAAAATAATCGATTTTTGCACTTTTTCAACCATAATTCGCAGGTTATTCATTTTTTTGGATACTGTTTTCGGCAAAATTGTAGCCGTTGTAAAAACAAACAACTCTTCTGAACACTTAACCCAACAAAATCACATCCAATGTGTTTTGAGTTAAGATTTTTGAAAATGAAATTTCGAGCCAAATAAGTGGTCAGAACATGCTTATTTTGGATTTATATGTTCGGAAAGGTTGTCTATTTTTACACTGGCTACTTTTTTGCCGAAGACCGTGTCCAAAAATATTGAATAAATTTCGAATTTTAGTCATAAATATGGAAAAAAGTGAGAAAAAAGCGGTTTAAGTACTCTTAATGTACATCATAATATAGTTAGGATTAAAAAAAAACAAAGATTTGCGCAATCTGGAAGAAATTATTTTTTCTCCCAGACCATTTTTTGGAGTAATGTATATGTAAGGGAAGCATCATCGATAATAACCCTGTGGGGGGTCAGGAAATGAGTCAGTTGACATCAGGGGAAGCTCCAATCGATAGATCTCGTCAAAATACATTGAGATACAAACTGGTCCGGGGGGGGGTTTAGCCACTCCCTAGCCCGCAAATCGGGTTTATATTTTTCCCCGAGGGAAAAAAATTTTCCCCCAGGGAAAATCGATTTCCCCACCCTCGCGCATGTATGGTCCAAACTATATGTCAAGTTGGCCTGGGTTTTCATTTTATCGACTTTTCAGGTTTTTCTATATCATAGTTTTTCAGCAATGTGGACTACGTCAGATTTTGGTCAATAAATCGTAATTCTGAGTGATAGCGTCTTACTGTCTTTAGCAAATTTGTAGCTGAGAGTCCAATAAACAAAATTTATGAACATTTTACGCATGAAAAAACCAGAGCGTGTAATGAGCTGATGCCAGCAGCACTAACTAACGTCAGCTGCTGATGTCAGCTGCTGACGAGTATGCGTTGCGTGGTTTTAACCCATTTGCAGTATAAAAACGAGATATTCTCCAAACATACCAATGAGATGTTTGCACATTCCAATGAGATGTCTGCCTCTTCGTTTTTATACTGCAAATGCGTTAAAACAACGCAACGCATACTCGTCAGCAGCTGACGTTAGTTAGTGCTGCTAACTTCAGCTCAAAACACGCTCTGGAAAAAACCCATCTAGTTAGTGCTTTGGAGCAATATGTCGAAAAAATTGTTTAATTTTTCAATTTTTTGACCATAACTCGCAGTGTATTCATTTTTGTGGCCACTATCTTTGACAGTTTTATATCCAACGTATAGCTAAACAACTTTTCTGAACATATTAACCCTGAAAAATTATGTTCTATCCACCTTTTTGACTGAAAATCACTTTTTGGTACCAAAAATGATCATTCTGTTGTGAATTTTGGTCTATTACATGCAAATAGTAATTGTAATACTGTATATCTTTCCATATTTTAGGCTTTGATTTTCGTTGAAGTGTCTCTGCGGAAAACGTGAATTTGTTTTAAAGCTAGTTTAAAGGCAGCATGACGGAATTTGGTTCACGGGATTTGGTTCCCCATTTAAAATGTATGGAGCACGGGATTTGGAATCCCGCGCGGAAAATGGAACTCTACACGGAAAATCAAATTTCCCGAACTGTAAATCCAGCCACGGGATTTGTCACGGAAAGAAATTCCGAGTCTCCACACAAAAAATCCGCACGGGCATAATTTCGGCTGAATTGTTTCCGTACGGATTTTGTGCTACATACGGTATTTTTAACAAAATGCACTTTTAACATAATGTGAGAGCATGAAAAAAATCTCATTTTTCATTATTTGAGAAACTTGAGAAATTAGCTTAAAAAAGTCAAATTAAAATCATTTTTATGGAGTTTTTAATTTTTAAAACCTCAAAGTTATAGAACATTATTCATTGAAAATTCAACCAGAAGGAGCTCCTGCAATAAATTGAGAGTTGAACACTCCAGTTGAAATATATGAGTATACAACACCTTAAAGAAACTGTTTTTCAATTTATATAGTCCAAAAGTAGCGTCACCTTAAAAAAGTAAAACAGCACACAAAAAACCTACTTTTTTCTTTTCATTCAGAATGATAATATATATTGACAAAGAAAGAAATTACATCGAAAACATGAATTTTTTATTTGATTTCGACTCGAGAATTATTAGAAAGTTTTTTTTTCACATTAGAAGTGACTTTGAAATTCATAGAATACTCATGTTTTGAAGAGTGCGTTGAGCTTCGGAAGCTTGTAAAAAATCGTTTGCACGTTGCATGATTTCTATGCTTAGCTTCATGGCATGAATGGAAGTTGACATAATACTTTGTCAAGCTCGTTATGAAATTCCTTGAATTCCTCGGCATGTGTCTCGAATTATAATGCTGCTGGCGGCTGGACTGATTCTGTAATGGCTCGCCGCATACTGTTCGAAAAATGGACCGCCGGCCAAATATCTATAATAATACTTTCTTGTGAATGTGAATATCAATGAAAATTTTGGAAAATGAAAAGCATACTCTAGCGTATAGGCGAGACGATGTTTCGGACTAATGGCATCGGGTCTTGTTTCTTTTCTTGCCATTAATCGATGATAGAGCCGTTGATAAAGATCTTCAAAATGTTCGGCGCTCATATGAAAGTTTCGCGAAAATTCGATGTTCCACTCGGTCATGTCACCAAACTAATTAAACGACACATTTGGGAAATAAAAAGTAAACAAAAACCGAGCACATTTGAAATTTAGAAGGAAACAAGAGATATAACACTACACACATCTTTGGAAAATCTTCCCTTTGTTGCTCGTTGTCGTAAATATGGGTTAACCCACATTCGTCTTGCTGCACGATTTTTCTTCTTTTTTTTGCAATTTTTTGCAATTAAGGCCACTGAAATACCAACTAAACACAAGAATTCATCTTATGCATCCATCTTGATAAACAACAAAAGCCGCAATGAAGAACAATTGCAGTTTTGAACATTTTCATATGCATAATTCCGTGTATAAAAACCCGTGTCTGTAAATCGAACAACGGGAAATTTTTACGCGGAAATATACTCTGAACCAAAATCCGTATCTGTAAATCAGACCACGGAAAAATTCAATACGGGATTTGGCAGTTGGAGAAATTTGCACGGAAAATTTCCCGTGATCAAATTCCGAGGCAAAATCCCGTGCCAAATCCCGTGAACCAA